CCCCGTGCGGCTGCGGCCGGGGACGGTTCGCTCCCACACGCCCGTGTGTCTTTCCCCAGCCCCCGGCTCGGCGGGGTTCAGGCCGTGCCACGAGCAGCCGTGTCCTCACGAGCACTCGTGTTTCCATGCATCCATGTTGCCATGTCCCCAGGAGAACCTGTGTCCCCACATATCTATATATCTCCCTGCACCTGTGTACCAGTGCGCAGTGCCGCTGTCACAGCTCCTCCGGCCCACGGGGACTGCCCCTCGCCCAGTTAGAAGGAAAGGAAACGAGTTCTGGGAAGGAAGTGAGTTTTTAGGGACTGTTCCTACAGGGAGCATGTTCATCACTGCGCTGCTCCCCTGGGAAGAGGGATTTGGGTTTTCCCGGTGCTCCAGCAGGTCCCTCAGATGCAGCATTGAGCCCACGTCGTCGTGGCTGCTCTTGGCACCATTGTAGGATCCAGACACCCAGGGGGGATAACGGGAGAGTGATGCCCCATCCTGCTCCCAGAAGTTGCTGCTCACCCAGAAGCATTGCAAGAAACGATTTCCACCAACACTAGATCCGAGCTCGATTTGGGAATATCCTGCTAGGGCAATAAGCACTGCCGTGTTCCTGCTGGGGTGATGCTTCCCAAGAAAGGTGGGTCCCAGATGGCAGCTGATGATAGAAATGCGCATCTGGATGAGTTCCTTGCATCTGCTCCCCAAATCCTCCATCCTCATTCCTTTATCTCTTCCTGTTCCAAAAATTGCCCAAATGTTTGCATCTGCTGGTCAGCATGACTGGGAATGTTTCAGGAACATATGAAGGTGGTGGAAGACCTTCTTGGACTGCTGACCCTGTCAGACACAGCCACGCTCCCTCTCCACATAGAAATCACCACTTCTGGAAGAGATTATCCTTGCATAATTAAAATTAAAAGCCTGGCTGTCGGGGCAGCTCATGGGAAAGGCTCTGGCTGCAGCCAGGCCAGCTGGGCATGTGGGGCAGCTTTGATGGAGTGCCCTGAGCAGTAATTGAGAAGAGTAATGTGCGGATGTGCATGTTTTAATGGAGGGATGAGGATCCTGGGTTTCCCCCTGGATTTCTGCCTCTCCTCAGATCCAGCTCCCTGTGATGGTCTCTGGTTGTGCTGTGGGGTTGGAAGGGCCGGGCAGCGGCAGCCTAGGCTCTGAACTTCACAGTGTCAGCTTCCCCACTTGGTTCCTGTGACCTCTGGATTTTGTAGCCTTGCTTCAGCATCATCTTCCAGCCTTGCGTGTCTCCTTGTGGTCAGAGACCTCTGAACCTCATACCACCACTGCATTTTCAGGCCCAGGTGCTTTTTCCCCAGGTTTCTTCTTCATCTGTGCTGGAAGAGCTCTATTATACTCCTCTATTGGGCATTGCTGAGTGCTGGAGGGGCTGGTGGTGTCATCAATCTGAAGTCATCATCCTCCTGGCCTCAGGAGAGCAGACCTGGAGGCAGCAATGCCAGAGCAAGGTCTCTGCCAAGAAGAGCATCATGGTGATGCCATTGGATTCCAGCATGGCTCACAGAACCTGTTGCCATCTTCTCGGGGACTCTGTTTTGGGGTGTACCACGTGCAGGCTGTGGGACAAGGTGTTCCCAAACACCTACACTGGTATCACTTCGGGTTCAGGGCTGTTTGTGGTCCTCTTCCTGCTGGCATCTGGGCTGGTGGCATCAACATCTCCTCCTGGAGAGGAATATCTGAAGCTACCACCACTGGGAGTGACTCCAATAGATGCAGTGAGGTTTTGGGGTCTGTCACTAAAATATGTCATTGGTTTGGGGAAGATGGTTGTTTTTATGGCCCAAGCGATGGGAAATCTGAGACTTGAGTCATTTTGGGAACTATTCTCGTCTGGAGGGAGAAGAGTGGCAGCGTCTTTTGCGATACGCTCACACAGTCACAAGGAGCTTGACTCCCAGAGGAGCGCCAGCCAGGAGAGGAGCACTTGCTTTCCAAAGTCATGGATTCTGCAGCAAATGCAGCCAAATAGCTTGGATTAAGTGGTGGGAAGGTATTTTCCACATCTCCTGACTCCCTGTTCCCAGGAAGTCTATGGAACTGAGTGCAAAGAGAGGTGGAGCATCCTCCTGTACAATACGTAGAAATATATCCCTGGGTTTTACCTCCCATGTGGCTAGCCTGGCCTGCCAGTGTTGCTTTCCTGCCTTCCTGCCTCCCTTTCCCTCCAGCTGCTGGCAGGCACAAAGCCAGGTATGTTTCCTTCTCCTCCTGCTGCTGTCAGGCCACAGGTGCCCAGCATGGGGGGATCGCAGCCACCCCAACTGTCCCCGGAGCTCCTGCCAGTCCTCAGCAGAGCATTGACCAGGTGTTATCCAGCTGGCTTTGTTCCAGGATTTTGCTGGACAAAACCATTCTCTGAGCCCCATCGAAGTTGGGATTTGACATTAGCTTCTGGAGGTGGGTGATGTTTAAAGAGAGATGCTTGAAAGAGCTTGCCTGCCTCCTATGTCCTACACACCTCCAGGGCCTGAGCCAAGGTTGGCTATACTGGGATTTGCATCTTAATTAAACCCATGGATTTTTTTCTTCCAGGCTTGTTGTAGTCAAGTCCTCCTGCTCCCTTCTCCGAAGCGCCTGCATCTGCAGGGCTTGTGAGCAGTTTTCCAGAGGTATGCTCCACCCCACTCTCCATTTATAGAAGGGAATTAAGAAGAAATGAGGGAGCATTACTAAGAGGATTTGCACTGCGACTTGCTCAGTTTCTCCAAATAATTTGCAGTAGCTCTGGATTCTTTAACCAACACTTGCTTCCTTTTGGAAATGAAAAAAGTTGGAAGGCATTGTGCTACTCCTGAGCTTGGCTCCACAAGCTTGGCTCTTTGCCTCCAAATGGGAAATTTTGCATTCAGAGAGTGAGAGCGTAATCTGGGGAAGACTGGTGGGGAGTGAGGGTATGTGTGGCAGAGGGAAGTGTGTGTCAGGGCTCAGAAAGCCTTGTCATCCTGACCCTTTTCCTCCATGCAGTTTTGGGCTTCTCTGTCTGGAGTCTGCAGACACGTGCCCGGAGAGGTGACATGAGACCTGGTCCATGGGTCATCCCAGTGCAGAGCTGTTGATTGCTCTGCCCTGCTGTGGGATCTCCTTGTGAGAAGGACTGGGCTGGATCAGGGGTTGGGAATTCTCATGGGACATAGCTATTGTAGCCTGTCAAGCCATGGGCAGTAGACCTTCCACAGGTTTCTGGGAATCCCCTTGGTATTGCAGAGGGAGGAAAAGACTATTGGAAAGATCCCATTGCTCAGGGATAGATAGTCCCAGACTGCTCCTCTCCCAGATGGCCTGTGCCTTTCCATGCACATTCGTCCCCCTGCCAAGTGGCACTTGGAAAGCTAACAGTGCTTGCAGCATTCCCAGCCCTTGCATCCTTCCCAGCCCCAATGTCCTTCCCAGCCCTTGCAGCACCCATGGAGGCACTCCCCAGCCTGGCAGAGTCCCGTGTGCAGCCCTGCCCCAGGTCCTGCCCCACTGAGCTCAGTCCCACATCCTGGCCCTGTGGCTCTGCATGAGTGGCTGGATGGCAGTGTCCCACTCACACCTCTCCGTGTGCAATGGACCCCTCTGGACTCTCCTCCTGCTTCCTACCTGGCCCGTTGCACAAGAGGATATTCCAGAGTTTCCTGTCCCAGCAGCAGGGTGGGGTGTGGAGCTGCCCCCTGTCCCCAGTGTTCCCTGACTTGTTCACAAAACCAGAGCAGGCCGGCAGTACTGCCCAGATGTGTTGTGGTGGGTCAGAAGTCACCCTCATAGGTTGGAAGCTCGTAATTAAATAAAAAATTCCATCAGCTCCAAGTGTGGGATGATGGTGGGAAGGGGCATCTCTGAGTTAGGATGAAAGACCCTCTATGGGGAAGGAGTCTGGGCTTGCTGTCCAGGCAGCCTCAAATTTCCCTCTGTTCTGACCCAATTTTGTGGCCAAATCACCCTCCCTGACCCCACTTGTCTCCTGGAGGTGACAGTTCCAGCCTTGGTCTCCTGCTGCTGCTCCATGCTCTCCCCAGCTTACTGATGTGGGTGCTGCCAGAGACACTGATATGGCAGTTTGAGCGTGTCCGAAGTGGCTTCCGGGATGGGACCCCTGCCCTGCACTTCTGGGGATGCAGCATGAAAGTAGGGTGTCCGCGAGTACAGGAAAGTGAAATCCAGTTTTTCCTCAGAAACCTTTCTTCCTTCCAGATAGATGTGCATGCTTCAATGTGCTTCATGGAGTTGAGGAACTTTGGGATGGAAGTTCCAGCTGGTCCCTGCCTTGAACCAGGGGCTGCCAGCCCCTGTCACACTCCCACTGTGTCTCTTCACTCTGGGAGGTCAACTAGGCCTTCCTTGCTTTGCTGGGAAAAGCTGGCATGAAAGAGCAGTTAAAGTGGGAGTTTCTAGCTTTCCCAAGGATACAGCACTGCTTCCCTCCAAAGAGCACCCTGTTCTGGTCATTCAAGGACGGCAGGAACAGCTTTGGGAGAGTGGTGCCTACATTTTGCCTCTGGCTGTGAGCTTCTACTCCCCAGCTCTGGCTTTGCATTTGGCTTGTTCCTTGTGGTCCAGAGCTCCATTCTGAGGCAGAATGTGCATTTAAATGCTGATCCTGGCACTCCTCACTGTGCTGGCTGGTTCGTCACAACTGCCCTGAGAGTCTCGGGGGCTTTGGGGCTGCAGTCTGGGATTTTGGATGAGGATAAGCTGTCTGGAGCTGGATCCATGGCATGTGTCACAGGTGGCTGTTGGGATGCAGGCATCATGCTCCAAGCCTCTAGGACATGGGCATCCCTCACCAGACTGGCAGAGGCACCTTCCCAAGTACTTTTTTAATGCTGAATTTAATTTTATGGTTTTCCTAACAAGGGTCTATGGCTGCTGGGACAGGCAGAGCTGCAGAGATGACTCCCACTTTTGTCCTCATGTGCTGGGAATGTGTTGCCTCCATCCAGCCCCTCAGGAAGGGATGGATGGGTCTCTCCACTGCTTCTTTCAGCTCTCCTTAAAAAACCAAGCTGAGATCCAGGTTCTGATCTGGGTGCCTGGGATGGGTGTCTTTCAACTGGCAATTCGGGTCCCCTGACACCTCAAAATGAGCCTCTTGCATCTTGCTGATAACCTCCCATGTCATCTCCATGGTCCTTACTAGTCACCTCCATGGTCACCACCCAGAGCCAATAGGGATAGGGCTGCAAACACCACAGACCAGTGGCATCCCTGCAGCAGAACTGTCTCGTATTGGGACACACAGTTTCAGCAAAGGCAGTGCTTGGCTCTGGGCTGGGGGTGCAGGTGTGAATGGGGTCTCATCTGCCTCAGGCCATCATCGTTCCCACTCCAGCTGGCACATATTTCGGTAGCAGAGGGACTTCCTGGGAGATGGGGGCTGTACTCCACCACATTTGGGGCTCCTGTGGGTCCCTCCAGCCCCACTCAGCACAGACTCACCTAGATCTGTAGAGATGAAGCCATGTGGGGCCACCTCAGAGAGGGCTAGGAAGCAGGGTTGCAGCAAAATTGTAGTGAGAAAGGCATTGAAATTAATCTCACAGCTTTAATTGGTTTATATCAGTAATGAGCTGCTTCTGGCAGTGCTGAGCCAGACAATTCCTTCTCTTGACAGTGGGATGTTCACAGAGCAGGTGCCAAGGAAGCACTTGGTGACGTGGGAGCTTGGGGAATGGATGACCCTGAGCTGGCATCTTTGATCCATGAAGGATCAGAAATGGGGTAGAGTTAAAAGTCCTGCCTGGAAAATCTTCCAGTGGCTGCCACTGCCTTCCATAGGATAAATACTGGCTGGCTGTGCCCAGGCTCCTCAGCATGGACTCCCCAAGGTCCTCAACACCTCCATGACAAGTCCTGCCTGTGGATTCCACTCCTGTCTCTCTAATCCTGGAACAGGCAGCACCTTGCTAGGCAGCCCTGGCACTGGTCTTGCCATCCCACTGCCTGATTTTTGGTGCTCCCCAAATTATCCTCCTCCCCATTCAGCACCCCCAAAAGTGGGTAGGAGCTGCCAGCTGCTGCCCATGATCCAAGGGCAGGGGAGGGATTTGCCTTCCCTCTGCCTATCCCACCACTCTGAGGGCAGCAGTGGGTTCTTTGTGGGCACTGCTTTAATTACTTCATTATTATCCTGAGTAAATGAATCCTGGCAGCAGCTGAACCTGGTGGATGCCAACTGCATCCCAGAAAGGCATCCAGGAAAGGTCATCATCCAGCTGGCACAAGCAAGGATTGGGGACCTGGATGGGACCCAGCCACTGCAGAGCCAGAGGGTCTCAGTCAGCAAGGGGAGAACCGTGAGGGAGCCTCAACCCTTCCCATCTCACCCCCCCCATCTTTTCTCTCTTGCAGACCGTCAGCATCAATAAGGCCATTAACGCGCAGGAAGTGGCTGTCAAGGAGAAACATGCCAGGAATATCCTTCTCAAAGCTGGCTGTGGGACAAGGAGTGTGGGAGCAGGGCTGGGGCTGCCTGGAAAAGGGGCAGCATCAAGAGGGTGTGAGGAGAGGTGCCCAGAGTGCTGGGGAGGCTGGGGGCTATTAACAACATTGGATTTTTTTCCAGTGTGGTCTGGGGTCCCTGCTGCTGCTGTCACAGCCTCTGGATGTTGGTAGGTGCCCAGGCTGCTCCCAGCACTGCCAGAAGGCACACAGCAGTGTGGGTGCCCACAGCAGGCTCGGACACTGCCACCAAAAGTGGATCTCCAGCATCCCAGTCAGGCATCTGGGAAGGCTCAGCAGAGGCACAGACCCAGCCTTGTGTGTGCCATAGTGCTCCCAGAGCAGGGCTGGATGGGAGAAGGTGGCTTTTGCCACTTTGGGACAGCATATACCTGGGCTGGGCATCATTTGCTTCCTGTGGTGGCCTGGCCCCGTTGGGTTTTGTGGGTGCAGCTGTCTTTGGGTGGCCATTCTCCATCACCAAAGGGCAGAGGAGTGCTTCCTTGACCACCAGCACCATGCATCCTGGGCACACACCATGAGAAAGGAGCACAGACCTTCTGGTCAGTGGTGAACCGGCTGCCGCTGTCCGGCAATGCCGTGCTCTGCTGGAAGTTCTGCCACGTCTTCCACAAGCTCCTCCGGGATGGACATTCCAATGTGAGTGCCCAAAGCTCAGCTTGGGGCCAAATCCTTTCCCCTGCAGGGCTGCACCAGGTGATGGGAGACGCTGAAGGGTCAGTGTCATTCTGGCGAGTCAGTCCTGCGGTGGGTACTGGAGTTCTCTCAGAAGGTCGTTTGCCTCCTAGAGGTAGGAGTAGGGCCTGGAGCTGGAACCCTCCTTGAGGGGTTGGTGTGCTCCTGAGGGTCAATCCTATGTGGACACCAGTGCTGGAGCTCTCTCAAAGGCCCAGTGCCCTCCTGCAGGTCAATGCTGAGTGCCAGAGCTCTCCTGGTGCTGCCCTGCCCAAAACCCTGTGTGCCTCAAACCCCAATGCCAGCAGCAGTGCCAGAGGAGACTGCTCAGCACCTGGCAATGACATTGGTGCAGGAGCCATTAGCAAGGATCCTCCTTTGGGAAACGGAGGCACCCAAGGCTGGCAGTGGCAATAAAGGGTTGGGGATGCATCAAAACTTCTCCTTTGTTACCCAGTTCCTGGTTTCAAGTATGGAACACTGTGTCCTGATGCTCTGCCTACTGATTATCACCATCATTCCTCCAGGTCCTGAAAGACTCCATGCGATACAAGAATGAGCTGAGTGACATGAGCAGGATGTGGGTAAGTGACCAACCCTGCCAGCCATGGGGAGAGACCCCGGGGTGCCTTGGCCAGGCTGGCAGGGGGTGTAGGTTTGTGGGGTTCCCTCTCCCAGGAAGCACAGCACAGCCGACCTGTGGCTGTTGTCACCTACCTGGGCTGGGTTTCAGTTGCATTCTGCGTTCCCTTCCACAAAAATCAAGTGCCTCTTCCTACTTCATGGCAAAACCCAGTAAAAACTCTGCTCTGACAGTGAAATGAAGCATTGAAACTTGCAGAGAAGGTGATGAGAAGGTCTGACCAAATCTCTTCAGTACAGCCAGCGAGGAGGGTTTGGCTGTGGTTTTGGGGAGATAAGCGAGGGGTCAATCATTCTGCAGCAGAAAAAGGCTTTCCCACAGCCTGCCCTGGATCTCAGCATCTTTTTGGGGTCCCCACAGGGCCACCTGAGCGAGGGCTATGGTCAGCTCTGCAGCATCTACCTCAAACTACTGAGAACCAAGATGGAATTTCACACCAAGGTAAGTACCCCCTGTCCCCAAGGCTATAGAAAGGGGTGGGCACTGGGCTGGCAGCAAGGGACCAGCATGGACGTCCTGCTGCTTCCATGAAATATTCCCAAAGCTGCCAGTGGCCATCAAAAATGGCACAAGGGCCAATGCTTTGGGGGTGTCAGGATTCCTGGTGGCTCAGGGCTCCTTGGGCTGGGCTGGGAGTTGGCTACAAGTAGTAGGAGACACACATACCCCTTTCTCCCCCAGCTATCCTCTGTCGCTATAGGACACAGAATGATTCACATGGACACAGTTTAATGTATGATAGGGAAAAGGATGATTTTATTTTTGTGACTCCAGTATTTATAGATTCTTGACAATGACCAGGGATTGGATAGTTAGGTTGCTACCTTCCCAGTCACACTGGTCGTGTGAAACATCCATCAAAAGACATTTCTAGAAAAGAATGTTTAAACATCTATGTTTATAGTTATTCTCCTGGGAAAATGGCTAGTAACTATGAAAACAAGATCAGAAGGTCTAATTTTCAGGGAGACAATCCTCAATGGGAAAACAGGGAAAAACTGCTGATAAGAGGTGTTTTCTGTGCCCATCACCCTGTTTTGGAAGTGTGATGCAACCTTTCCCAACATGCCTGGGCAGGTACCCCCTGGCACAGATATCACTCCATCCTGTCCAGCTCTCTGCTGGAGGTCCTATCGCCTCCCTGCTCGGCAGGTTTCTCAGCCCAGGAAGAATCTTTCTTGCTGGGAAGAGAACAGATGCTGTGAATTAGGGATGCTGTGGTCACCCAGGGTTCAGAGACCCTGTGCTACCTCCCTTTTTCCTGTATCACTCCCTGGTTCATCCAAGAGCTGACTTTGAGGCTGCAGGATCATGGCCCTGGTGCTCCCAGAGCTGTGGCCAGATCAGGAGGTCTTCTGGACCCCTTTCCTGACTCCTCTTTTCCCCACAGAATCCCCGATTCCCTGTAAATCTGCAGATGTCCGACCGGCAGCTTGATGAGGCTGGGGAGAATGACGTCAATAACTTGTGAGTGTGGGGCAGGGGAAGATCAGGGAGGGAGTGGCTGCAGGTGGGTGGCACAGTCTGCCCAACCCCACCAGCCACATGACCAAGCAGGGGCAGGACCATTCCTCATGGGTGGCCTTGGGGACAGTTCCCAACCATCCTCAACCCTGTTTCCTAGTTTTCAGCTGACGGTGGAGATGTTTGACTACCTGGAGTGTGAGCTGAACCTCTTCCAGACAGGTAAAGCCCTTCATTACTCTGAAACACGGTGGAGTGAGAGATCCGCTGCTGTCCAGCCCCTTCATGGGGCTGATCTGAGTTGGAGGAGGCTCTGACAGGATGTTGGCTGAGGGCACCACAGCTCAGCTCTTATATGGGCACGTCACCTGAATTATGGTTCAACAAGGCAAAGTGAAGGTGCTGCACCTGGGTCAGGGCAATCTCTGGTATCAATCCAGGCTGGAGGATGAAGGGATGGAGAGCAGTCCTGCTGGGGAAGACTTGGGGATGCTGGAGAATGAGGAGTTCAACATGCCCCAGCCATGTATGCTCCAAAACCCCCTGTGCCCTGGGCTGATTCTCTAGCGTGGGCAGCAGGTGAGGGGATGATTCTTCCCCTCTGCCTCACTTAGGTCAGAGCCCACCTTCAGAGCTGCCTCCAGCCCTGGTGTCCCAGCACAGCGAGGACATGGGGCTACTGGAGCAAGTCCAGAAGAGGCCACAGAGGTGCTCTGAGGACTAGAGCCCCTCTGCTCTGCACACAGGCTGGGAGAGCTGGGGGTGTTCAGCTGGAAAACAGAAGGTTCTAGGAAGACCTTAGAGCCCCTTCCAGGGCCTAAAGGGGCTCCAGGAGCACCAGAAAGGGACTTTGAATAAGGAATGGAGTGACAGAACAAGGGAGAATGGCTTCCCACTGCCAGAGGGTGGGGTTAGGTGGGAAATTGGGAAGAAATTCTTGGCTGTGAGGGTGGTGAGGCCCTGGCATAGGGTGCCCAGAGGAGCTGTGGCTGCCCCATCCCTGTGTCCAAGGCCAGGTTGGATAGAGCTTGGAGTGCCCTAGTCTAGTGGAAGGTATTGGAATGAGATGGTGTTCAGCTGCTCCAAGCTGGTTTTGGAGCATCTTCCCTCTGGCACACCCAGCACATTCCAATGGCCAGTGAGACAACAGTGACAGACAGGGGTTTGTCGTTCCGATTGGGAACGGCAAGGAAGAACGACACTGGACTCTCAAGGGAGTCACAACACAAGAATTCCTTAGTTTATTGCTTCAGCCCTGTCTTATAGACAGATACGTGGAAAGTACAGAAAAGAAACTCTTATTGGTTAGTAAAGTGCTACATCACCATCATTGGTCAGTGGCACACAACCCCTCTGACTCTCTCTTGCAAGGAGAAACAAGAGGTTGCAAAACAACACCTGCAAGGCTGTTTAGTGTCCCTGAGAATTGTTTTAATTCCTTCTCATATTTTTCCCAGGATACTTTCTCAGGCAGCCTGAGGAGCTATGCGGCTTGCAATTTGTACAGGCACTGTGGTTCAGATTTAGCATCCATAGGGGTTGCATGTCAGCTCTGCCCAGGGACACTGCTGGGGCTCAGTCATGGTTGGAGGCTTATGGTGCCAGGCTGGAGTGTTCCCAGGCCTGGGTGGGAGACCTGGGTGGGAATTTCCCCTCCCGCTGAGCTCACAAACAGCTGCAGAGCAGCTCCAAGGGCCAGTGGCTATCTTGTTCTGGGTGACAACTGTGGATTTGGCAGACACCCTCTGATGCTGCCAGTGCTGCTGGATCTGATCCTGCACTCCTTCCCTGCAGTGTTCAGCTCCCTGGACATGTCACGCTCAGTGTCGGTGACAGCAGCGGGGCAGTGCCGTCTGGCCCCACTCATCCAGGTGATCCTGGACTGCAGCCACCTCTACGACTACACCGTCAAGCTGCTCTTCAAGCTCCACTCCTGTGAGTGTCCCCAGTACCACTGCCTTTGATGGGGGGGACACACAGGGAGGCACTGGGGCCACCACCCTGCTCAGCCTGGACTGTTGACCATCACCTCTTCTCCAGCCTCTTTTGGGGAGTGGAGTCACCATGGAAAGGAGGTGCAAGACCCATATCCTTCAGGATCTGGAATTGTGGCAGCCATGAGCCCACACTTCCCTCTGCCCTGGGAGGTGTAGGGTGGGGTCCCCTCCTGCAGCGGGACACTGCCTGGTGTATTTGGATCCCCAGAGGAGGGTGGACATCTCTGGGAAAGAGGCATCTCCACATGGCTGTGCTGATGGGTTGTATCCTGATCCATGAAGACACCCCCTGACATTTCTATTTGCTGCTTCTTCCAGGTCTACCGGCGGAAACACTGCAGGGCCACCGAGATCGTTTCCTGGAGCAGTTCCGAAAGTAAGTGCCCAGACCCAGAGCATTGATGCACTGGGAGTGCTCGCAAGGCACTGTGATTAAAAATGAGTGAGCAGGGACGTGCTGTGGTACATTATTATTTAGAGTAACCAAAACAAAAACTGGCCACCAAGAGCAGGGAGGGGATGTCATGGTGTCAGGGGAGGATGTCATGGTGCTGAGGGACAGCTTGATTCAAGGTCACAAACTGCAAAGAACAGATAGCAGGGGTGGTTGTGCTCTGACCGCACAGGGACTAACCTTGGGACAGGGATCAACAGTGCCAAGATCCTGACTGAGATGCTCAGGTGACTGGGAGAGGTGGAAGCTAGGAGTTGTCTGGCTGGGCACTGTGCCTCCTCCCCAAAACTATAAGTCCTGGAGGAAAGTACCCTACTTCTGGGGAAGATGCTCCTGCAGGAACTGAAGGTGAGGGTGTTGGCTCCCCTGGGAAGTCAAGCCCCCCTGCTCCTGAAAACTTTGGCTAGGCAGAAAGTGGTTTAGGTTGGAAGGGACCTTTGAAGGTCATCAGATACAATCCTCTGCCATGTTCAAGGATACCTTCCACTAGACTGGGTTGCTCAAGTTCCAGGTCCTGCTCCCTGCCCAACTCTCCAGCAGTGGGAGGACTTCCAGGACCTGCCCTGAGTTTGGTGGCAGAACAAAACACCTTCCCCTCCAGAGCAGTACAGTGACCAGGTGACACCCCCTGGGACCAGGCAAGGGGTTGTCCAGGTTGGACAAAAGGCATCCCTAACTACTCCCTGCCCCTTGCAGGCTCAAGGACCTTTTCTACCGCTCCAGCAACCTGCAGTACTTCAAGCGGCTGATTCAGATTCCACAGCTGCCAGAGGTGAGACCCTGCAGTCCCCATGTTCCCTGTCCCTGTGCCCAGGGAAAGCAGTGGGGGCACTGGCAAAAGGCCCAAAAAAGCCTCTTGCTGCCTTGCCCATCTTCTTAGGTCTGGTGGCAGCGTGGGGCTCTTGGGCCTTGAGGATCATTCTTTTATCCCTCACTGGGTGGCATTCAACTGGATGGAGCTGCCCTCTGACTGGAAGCTGGGATCCCTCTCTCACTCTCCATAGCCCTTGTTGAGACCCAACCCTGTGGGTCCTGGTTCCATTCTCACGGGTCAAGGCATGGCCAGCTCAGCTCCAGGGCAGGATTTCAACCAACTGTGCCTTTAGCCCAGCAGCAGTGCCAGTCCTTCCCCCTCAGCCCTGCTCCCCTCCCTCCCCAGAGCCCTCCCAATTTCCTGCGTGCCTCTGCACTGTCAGAGCACATCAGCCCTGTGGTGGTGATCCCCGCCGAGGCGTCCTCGCCTGACAGCGAGCCCATCACCGACCTGGTGGAGATGGATGCAGCCTCGCAGGTGAGGATGGTGGAGCTCTCTGGCTCCGAATCTGGGGTTATTTCTCCAAATCCATGGTGCAGTGAGGGCTGAGACAGTGGCTATGGCTTTGGGAACTGGAGAGAGATGGGTTGGTGCTGGGTGCCCCATCCAGGTGCTGGATGTCCCATCTGGGTCCTGTGTATCCGATCTGGATGCTGAGTGTCCTGCCTGAGTGCTGTTCGGGTTGAGCTAGCCTGGAATTCTCCCAGTGCTGCTCAGTGGTGTGATGGGCAGGGAGAGGCTTGGCTTCAAGCATTGCCATGGAGACCTTTAGATCTTCACCCTCCTCTCCACCCAAGGGTTGTCCTCAGGCATTCACTGGGGAGGGGAAGAAGCATGCAGTGATGTGGCTTTGGGGATCTTCTTCCCCTAGGAGTTAGGTGGGGATGAGCCACAGATGCTCCATGGAATCAAGTTCATCACATTCAGTGTTCTGGAAGCAGGGGTGGAACCGGCCCTAGTGTCCAAGCAGCTCATAGGCTGGCTTGGCAGTGACACTGGGGACATGGAGGGACAAGAGCTACCAAGTGGTGGTGGGGTCATTCCAAGTCTGTCCTGCTCTTCTCACAGAGCCTGTTTGATAACAAGTTTGATGACATCTTTGGCAGCTCCTTCAGCTGCGACCCTTTCAACTTCGACAGCCAGAATGGGATGAGCAAGGATGACAAGTAAGTAATCCTGACGATGCTGTAGAATGGCCAAGATTGTATTGGGAACTCCCTGCCTGGAATAGCATCGCAGCCATGGTGACACAGGGGGCACCTCCCCTTCCAGGCTGTGTCCCCGTGGCACTGAGGGTGTACTCCACGTTTCTCCTTCCCAGGGACCGGCTAATTGAGCAGCTTTATGGGGAGATCACAGCCCTCAAGGAGGAGCTGGAGAACTTCAAGGCTGAGGTGGGTGACAGGCAGGTGGGCAGGACGAGACCCACTGGAAATGTCGGGTAGGCTGCTGGGTGTGTCCCTGGGTGGACAAGACAGTGACCCCATCTCTGTCCTGCCCTCTTCCCAGTGGCTTCCCCCATACTGGGGGTCCCTAGGTGTGCCAGGAGGCCGCATCCCTTTTGGGGAGTGGGCTCAGCTCCACTGCCCAGCATCCTTGTGCTTTGCCCCCATGCACTTGGGGGCCTGCAGGGGGCGTTTCTGGACAGTACCGGTGGGCATTGGATGGTATCAGTGGGCATTGGATGGTCCCAGCAGGCAGTGATAGCACCATCAGTCCCCACCTGTCCCTGCAGAGCGCACGGGGTGCAGTGCAGCTGCGTGGTCGTGTCAGTGAGCTGGAGGCTGAGCTGGCCGAGCAGCAGCACCTGAAGCAGCAGGCACAGGACGAGAGTGAGTTCCTTCGTGCAGAGCTGGAGGAGCTGAAGAAGCAGCGGGAGGACACGGAGAAGGCTCAGCGGAGCCTGACAGAAATAGAGAGTGAGCAGGGAGTGCCAGCATTGGCATAGGGTGGGGGTGAGCCCTGGGCAGGGAGTCCTGGGTGCTCAGCGCTCTGTCCCTGCATGCATGGCAGGACGGGCACAGGCCAACGAGCAGCGGTACAGCAAACTGAAGGAGAAATACAGTGAGCTGGTGCAGAACCATGCTGACCTGCTGCGCAAGGTGGGCTTCCCAAACCACCCCCAGCATCCCCTCTCCCAGCCATACCCCCTGATACTGGGGCTGCTCAGCTCATTCTCTGACATTGCCAGAACGCAGAGGTGACCAAGCAGATTACAGTGGCCAGGCAGGCCCAGGGGGATGTGGAGCGGGAGAAGAAGGAGCTAGAGGACTCCTTCCAGCGAGTGAGTGAGCAGGCACAGAGGAAGGTAAGTAGGAATGGGGGGACGCACCGGAGATGAGCAGGGACTCCCCATGGGGCATCAGTGCTCCCAACCTCTCCCCTTGCTGCAGTCTCAGGAGCAGGCAGAGGTGCTGGAGACACTGAAGCGGGAGCTGGCAGCCAGCAGACAGGAGCTGCAGGTCCTCCAGGGCACGCTGGAGTCCAGCACACAGGTGAGAGTACACGGGGGGCACTTAGCACCTCTCTGGGTTGGGTAGCCAGGCCTTAACCATTCAAGAGGTGATACCCACCACTGGCATGAAAATCAGCTCCTTGTCACCTTCTTTGCCAAATCTGAGTGTGATAGAATGTGGAGCAGTGGGCTCCAGCAGCAGAGATCATGGAATAAAATGCCTGGAAGAACAGGGTCAGTCAGCAGCTCTGCCTGCTGTAAGCCCAGGTAGCAGCGTGGCTCTACGCTGCAAGATGTGCCAGAGGGTATCCCATGCCTGCAGAGCTGGGGAGGACAGCAAGGATGCCTGGGCTCGTTGTGGGAGGCAGAAGCTGGCAGGAAAATGCAGTGACCCATCTATGAGGTAGGCAGATTCAGCAGCAGGATGGGGATGGAGTAGAAGCATCACCCTGCATCCACTCCTCCATCAGGATGGTGACAGTCATGATAAAAATGCATTTTCACTGATAAAAATGAAAAGATTCCCCAGGAGCCTCAATTGTCACTAGATAAGATTACCAGTGCTGCTCGGTGCAGGCCATGGTGCACTCAGCAGGGATAGTCCGGGTGGCCCAAGCCTGGACCAAGAATGAGTCCCCAAACTGGAGGGTTCACCCGTGGCACATTCCCAACTGCCGTTCCATGCCCCCCCAGGCAGGAGCAGAGCAGAACACTCAGATTGCCAGCCTGGAGCAGGAGAGGGACAGGCTGAGCCAAGCAGCAGAGCAGCACAAGGATGAGATGGCAGCTCTGCAGACTGAGGTACGTCAGCTGCGGGACATGCTCAGCCGCAAGCAGGAGAGCAGCAGGACAGAGCTGGAGATGCTACAGGCCCAGCTAAGAGACAAGGTACCGTGAGGGTCCTGCCATCCCCATTCTGGCCAGACCAGAGGGATTAGGATGGACCGGGTGCAGGGAGTGCCGGCTGGCCCAGCAGGGGCTCTGAGCCCGGCTCTGGCCCAGCAGGAGAGCACAGAGTGGGCACTGCAGCAGCGCCTGGCCAAGGAGCAGCTGTCCCTGCTGCAGGGCACCATGCTCGAGGCCAAGCGCATGGTGCAGGACGCCCTGGCTCGCATGGAGGATCCTGCTCACATCAGCTGCACCGGCTCAGCAGGTGATGCCCTTGCTGTTCCCCAACCTGGCATTATCCCAGCCTGCCTGCTTCCTGTGGTCCTGGCTGAGCCCTGCCTACTGTCTGCCTTCAGATTGCCTCCTGTCCCAGACACTGGCAGCCTCTGAGTGCACAGAGCGACTGCGGGACGCACACAGCAAGTACCTTTCGGATGGTGCAGGTGAGAGGTGGCAGCCCCAGGCACTGGGCACAGGGGCAGCCCTGGCAATCAGGGCAGGTGGGCATCACAGTGGGGGCTGAAGCCTGTGCCTGCTGTCCTGCTGCAGCTGTGGGCTCCCTGCTGCCTTGCCTGGCCCTCTTCGCCCACCTGGTCAGCAACACCCTCCTGCAGGGCAGTGCAACCTCCCATGTGGCCCC